CCTCATGTCAGTCCCTGGCAAAATCATGGAGCAGGTCCTCAAGGAAACCATTTTGAAGCACTTGGAGGAGAGGAAGGTGATCAGGAACAGTCAACATAGATTCACCCAGGGCAAGTCATGCCTGACCAACCTGATTGCCTTCTATGATGAGATAACTGGCTCTGTGGATATGGGGAAAGCACTGGACAGGGTCCTCCTTACCCATACACAAACTACGCAGCTGCGTGCTGCTCCAGTGGCCAGCCCAATCCCCTGGCCAGCTGAGCCGGCCAGGAAAGCTACCTCCGCGACCACTCCACCCCTTCCCCTTAGCTCCCACCCCTGCCCCACCTCTTTCCACCCCTGCTCCGCCCTCACCCCACCCCCACTCCACCCCTTCCCCTGAGCTACATCCCGGGAGACTGCAGCAGGGGTTGGGCACGCCCTGCAATCACCGGGCAGCAGGAAGTGGAGCGACCCAGCCCCAACCCCCTCTGCTCCGCTGGCTCGTACTGGGGGGTGGTTTCCCCCTTGCCCCCCAAGCCCCAAGTCTGCTCTTGCCCCCCACAGACCTTCGGCACAGCCCCTCCCACCCCACAGAGACCTGAGGCCAGCCCCCCTTGCGTAGGGCACCACAATGCCTAGGGACAGCCCTGGCAGTGGACATGATATATCTTGACTTTAGCAAAGCTTTTGATACGGTCTCCCACAGTATTCTTGCCAGCAAGTTAAAAAAGTGTGGGCTGGATGAATGGACTTTAAGGTAGATAGAAAGCTGGCTAGTTTGTTGGGCTCAACGGGTAGTGATCAACAGCTTGATGTCTAGTTGACAACCAGTATCAAGCGGAGTGCCCCAGGGGTCAGTCCTGGGGCTGGTTTTGTTCAACATCTTTATTAATGATCTGGATGATGGGCTGGATTGCACCCTCAGCAAGTTTGCAGATGACACTAAGCTTGGGGAAGAGGTAGATATGTGGCTCTGGGAAGAAGGATAAAGGAGTTTAGGGTGCAAGTGGTGGTCTCGTCCATCCTCCCTGTGTAAAGAAAAGGACCAGGTAGAGACCATCGAATCGTGGAGGTTAACAAATGGCTATGCAGGTGGTGTCAGAGAGGAGGCTTTGGATTCTTTGACCATGGAATGGTGTTCCAAGAAGAAGGAGTGCTAGGCAGAGACGGGTGTTGTACTTAAAGTACTGCACAGGATCTTTTCAGGGGGAATAAGGCAAAGCGCCACATTTATTGGTAATACATGTATCAATCAACAATATATGATATATATTACACTCATGAACTCACACACACACAAACATACTCTGTCTTGTTGTTGTTACCAATTAGTTGCTCCCCTTAACTTCACTGGCCAGGTGAGTTAGATGGGGGAGGGGTGGAGCCGGGCTTCTGCTGATCCGGATCGATGCTCCCCTGTTGACAAGACAAGACCCGGGGTCCTCTGCAAGACACCTCACATTTATAGCAGCTTCCCTCTCATGCAAATCTGTACCAGATTCAAAATCTGTATCTGTGTCCATTGGTCCTTTGTGCTGCTTCCTTCTGGGTGCTGTCCCAATGCTGTTCAAAGAGGGTGTTTTCAAAAGAAGGTGCTCGCTTCTAACTCCCAAGGCCCTCAATATGTCTGCTCTTCTTTAGTGAGCCCACTTGACAAGTTTTATTGTTTTGGGGTCTGGCTTCCATCCCCACTCCAACTGTTGCAACTGTCTGGAGGTGCTTGCCTTCCACGCCTTGCTCATTCACGCCTCGTTCATTCAACAGAGAGAGATTAAAAAGGGTGGGGGGAGAGATTTTATTCTACTCCTAGCAAAAAGACATTTTTTTAACATTATACCAAGTCTCAATACAAAGTTTTCTATATAAGGATCTGATATAAAGTTGTATGAAAATAGAGGCATAATACAAAGTAATATGAAAGTTATGTGAAGATGCTTGATGCAGAGATTTTTCTACACGGACTCCACCTAACGAAGAGAGGGAAAAGCATCTTCGCAAGCAGGCTGGCTAACCTAGTGAGGAGGGCTTTAAACTAGGTTCACTGGGGGAAGGAGACCAAAGCCCTAAGGTAAGTGGGGAAGTGGGATACTGGGAGGAAGTACGAGCAGGAGGATTAATGATCTGGAGGATGGCGTGGATTGCATCCTCAGCAAGTTTTCAGATGACACTAAACTGGGAGGAGTGGTAGATACGCTGGAGGGTAGGGATAGGATACAGAGGGACCTAGACAAATTAGAGGATTGGGCCAAAAGAAATCTGATGAGGTTCAACAAGGACAAGTGCAGAGTCCTGCACTTAGGACCGAAGAATCCCATGCACGGCAGCAGTTCTGCAGAAAAGGACCTAGGGGTTACAGTGGCTGAGAAGCTGGATATGAGTCAACAGTGTGCCCTTGTTGCCAAGAAGGCTAACAACATTTTGGGCTGTATAAGTAGGGGCATTGCCAGCAGATCGAGGGATGTGATCATCCCCCTCTATTCGGCATTGGTGAGGCCTCATCTGGAGTATTGTGTCCAGTTTTGGGTCCCACATTACAAGAAGGATGTGGAAAAATTGGAAAGAGTCCAGCGGAGGGCAACAAAAATTATTACGGGCCTGGAGCACATGACTTATGAGGAGAGGCTGAGGGAACTGGGATTATTTAGTCTGCAGAAGAGAAGAATGAGGGGGCATTTGATAGCTGCTTTCAACTACCTGAAAGGGGGTTCTAAAGAGGATGAATCTAGACTGTTCTTAGTGGTGGCAGATAGAACAAGGAGCAGTGGTCTCAAGTTGCAGTGGGGGAGGTCTAGGTTGGATATTAGGAAACACTATTTCTCTAGGAGGGTGGTGAAGCACTGGAATGGGTTCCCTAGGGAGGTGGTGGAATCTCCATCCATAGAGATTTTTAAGGCCCGGCTTGGCAAAGCCCTGGCTAGGATGATTTAGTTGGTGTTGATCCTGCCTTGAGCAAGGTGTTGGACTAGATGACCTCCTGAGGTCTCTTCCAACCCTAATCTTCTTTGATTCTATGATCCCTGGCCGCACCCTAGAGCCTGTACCCCCAACTGGAGCCCTCACCCCCCCTGCACTCCAACCCCCTGCACCACCCCAGAGCCCCCTCCAACACCCCAAACCCCTCATCCCTGGCCCCACCCCCACCCAGAGCCTGCACCCTCTCCCATACCTCAGCCCTGTGAAAGTGAGTGAGGGTGGGGGGAGGGGGAGGGAGGGGGGATGGAGTGAGCAGGGGCGGGGCCTCAGAGAAGGGGCAGGGCAGGAGTGTTTGGTTTTGTACCATTAGAACAGGGGTGGCCAACCTGTGGCTCGGGAGCCACATGCGGCTCTTCAGAAGTTAATATGCGGCTCCTTGTATAGGCACCGACTCCGGGGCTGGAGCTACAGGTGCCAACTTTCCAATGTGCTGGGGGGTGCTCACTACTCAACCCCTGGCTCTGCCACAGGCTCTGCCCCCACTCCACCCCTTCCCACCCCCTCCCTGAGCCTGCCGTGCCTTCATTCCTCTCACCCCCACTCCGAGCCTCCTGCACGCCAGGAAACAGCTGATCCGGGGGTGTGGGGATGGAAGGTGAAGGAGGCGCTGATCAGTGGGGCTGCCGGTGGGTGGGAGGCGCTGGGAGTGGGGAGGGAGCTGTTGGGGGACTGCTGGGGGACGTATTACTGTGGCTCTTTGGCAATTACATTGGTAAATTCTGGCTCCTTCTCAGGCTCAGGCTGGCCACCCCTGTATTAGAAAGTTGACAAGTAACAGGGGGTAGCCATGTTCGTCTGTATGCACAAAAACAACGAGGAGTCCGGTGGCTAGGGTTACCATATTTTAATTTAAAAAAAGGAGGACACTCCACGGGGCCCCGGCCCCGCCCCAACTCCACCCCCTTCCCCGCCCCAACTCTGCCCCTTCCCCACCCCGCCCCTTCCCCAAAGTCCCCGCCCCAACTCCGCCCCTCCCCTGAACGCTCCGCCCCCCTGGTCCTCCTTCTCCCCTGCTTCCCGCGAATCAAATGTTCGCGGGAAGCCTGAAACAGGGAGGCAACAGGAAGGCAGCAGGTAAGTTGGGGCTAGGGCGGTGGCGGGGCGCGAGGAGGCGCGGCCCAGTCCGGCCCCCACGGCCGAGCGGCTCCCTCTGGTGGCCGGCCTGCCCCAGCCAAGAGGCTCTGGCTCCGGCGTCTCCCGCCTAGCTCGGCTTGGGCCCTGGATCGCCGGCCCTGGTTCCGGCCGAGCGGCTCTGGCCCGCCCTGTCCCCGGCGGCTCCGGCCCAGCTCGGCTCGGGCCCCAGTTCCGGCCGAGCGGCTCCAGGCCGGCCCCGGCCCTAGCCGAGCACCGCTGGCCCCAGCAGCCCGGGCACTGCCGGCCCCAGCGGCTCAGGCACCCCCGGCCCCGGTTCCAGCCGAGCGGCTTTGGCCGAGCACCACCGGCCCCAGCCCAGACCCAAGCCCCACGACCCCTCCCTCCCTATTTTCCCGGACATGTCCGGCTTTTTGGGATTTCCTCCTGGATGGGGATTTGAGGACCAAAAAGCCGGACATGTCCAGGAAAATCCGGATGTATGGTAACCCTACCGGTGGCACCTTAAAGACTAAATCAATCTGTTAGTCTTTAAGGGGCCACTGGAGTCCTCCCTGAGCATGCTCAAATAAACGTGTTAGTCTCTACGGTGCCACAAATACTCCTGTTCTTTTTATTAGAAAGTTGGCAACCATAGCAGCGATGCAGTGCCTTGGGTGTAGTGTACAGCGCCGAGCGCCCTGGTCCCGAGTTTGGCTTGCAGCCCCATACCCAGCCCCGGCCCACTCAGCCAGGGACTTGCCTTTCTAACCCCTCTCCCTCAGAAAAGATGCGGGGACGGAGCGCGCGCCCCATGATTGACATCCCGCGGTCCCGCCCGCCGCGCCTCGTTAGCTAATCGCCTGCGCCGCGCGCCGTCTCAAGCTCGTCTTCTCTTCTATTGGCTGCTTCGAACGCGGCGACGGCCAATGAGCGCGCAGGAACGGTTGGTTGCGGAAAGGGCGGGACAGGCAGGGCCGCTTTGCTGGGCTCCGGCGGAGAACTTGAGGGCGCCATGGAGCGGGCGCGGGCCACGGCCGCCCAAGGTGAGTGCGGGGTGGGACCCCGCCCCCCCGGCTGGGGGTGCGGGCTCGGAGGTGGGGCTGGGTTGGGGGCTCCGGGCCGGGGGCGCGGTAGGAAGGAGCCCCGCCTTCCTCAGGGTCCTGCGCGGCGC